GCCTTGCCCGCCTGCATCCCCCCGGCCCCGGGGAGACCGGCCGTCTGCCTTTCCTGGCCGCGGGGAGAGCGGGGCTGGGCTGGCCGGCTGGGCTTGGAGGTGACAGGGCAGATTTGGCCAGCGCTCGCCTCACCCTGGGCTGATGGCTCTGCTCCAACGCTGGGCTCGAGCGTTTCCGATCCAGATGAAGTAAGAGAAAGAGCATTGACGTGGTGCCTCCCATGACTTAAAGCTCCAAGTGAACAGCTATAAAAACATGTGAATGATTCTCCCCCAAAATAACTAGCTCCAACTGTCTTTTTTTCTGTAAGCAAATCCTCCTCCATATTTCAAAGACGCCTTCTCTGTGAAGCCTTCCCTGCTTGATTTTCCCGATTAGAGTTATGCGTGCACTCCCACCAAACAGCCTTAGCGTCGCTCTTTGCTTAGAACCGTTAGCCCTTGGAGGCGTGGGCCCCTTTGCTGTCCCAATGCATGACTCTGGCAGATGCTGGGTGAAGTCTTAGTGGATCTCCTGCTCCTTTTCAAGTTCTCCTGCTGCCCTTCTGATCTTCCTCCTTGCCCTTCAGAGTCTCTTTGCTGTCCCTTCCTTTAGATTCAGCTTCTGGTCATCACTTGCCACTCAAAGGCTACTATCCACCTTGTTTTTGAAAATTTACATCAAGAAATCCTTTGATCCCCAACAGTGGAGTTGGTGTATGCAGTTTGCATGTACAGGGCAGTTTTTATTTGTATGTGGCAGCAGGGTAGCCTGAGGCTTACAACCTTTTAATCTAGCCCAGAGTGCACGAGAGATTTTTTTTTTTTTGAGTTGTAGTTTTACCCTGTTGCCCAGGCTGGAGTGCAGTGGCATGCCCACAACCACCACAGCCTCCACCTGTTGGACTCAGGTGATCCTTACATCTCAGTCTTCCAAGTAGTTGGTACTAGTCTCGCACCACCACACCTGAGTTGTTGTTTTTTTTAATTGTAGAGATGAGAACTCGCCAAGTTGCCTAAGCTGGTCTCAACCCCCTGGGCTCAGGCAGTCCTCTTGCTTCAGCCTCCCAAAGTGCAGGGATTACAGGCTTGAGCCACCACACCCAACCAGAGATTCATCTTTACATTCTTTTCTTATGTGGCTGACTGTTCCTGGTGATATTAGAGGAATCACAATTTTTACTGTATGTTATTACATGGAATTTATAATAATAAATATTCAAAAAGACCCTTTGGGGGACAGCAGATATGTGCATGGGTCCTCTATATAAATGAAGCCGCTGAAAGAGTTTTTCTAAATAAACTCCTGCAAATGCATTGAACTGTTATTATGTATAAGGCATGGTATGGTGCTGGGTATGGTGGAAGATTCACAGTTGCTCAGACTGTCATGGTTCCTATTGAAAGAGCTTACTAGCTAATTAGGAAACACTGTATATAACTGTACTCAAATCAAGTTTAAAATTCCCACATTAGTGTTACAAGCAAAGCAGTTTTAGAGTATACTGAAATGAGATATTCCAAGATAAAACATTTCATAAAATCATATGTTATTCAAGCTAAAAGGAAGCATTGAATCATTGAGTCCAACCTTTTCAGTTTTATAGACATCATTCTGAGAAACGAACTTGCTCAAGGTCACAGAACTGGGTCTACAAGTTGAAATCTAGACTTTATATCCATTGTAAAGGTTTATCAATATTTTTTTCTCTTAGGGAATTCGTCCTTAAAGATATTAACCAGCAACTCTATTAAAATTCCAGTTATGTGCTTAGGACGGGGGTAGGGGAAGAGATTAAAGCACATGATTCATGTCTTCAAAGAGGTTATGGTTTTCTGGGGAAGAGTAAGGAACTGTTCTCTAACATTGAAGACAGTGTATACCTAATTGTTAAATTGTGTGATAGAGGGACTGGGTATGTCACAGGAGTTGAGGAAAGGGGATAAGAAGAATCAGTATGGACTCTGGTGAGACCACTTTGAGGAGTTAGGACTTTCTGGGCTTTGACAGAGGATATGATCAGAATTAATGAAAATGTCAAGGAAAATATTTTGAAGCAGAGGTGATAAGACAAGATAGCAATGCCTGCCATGTTTAGGGGATGGTTAAAAAAAAAAAACCAAAAAACAGCTTGACAGGATTAGAGTAGTGGTTTTCATCCTTTAGTATAAATCAGAGTCACCTGGAGATCTCTCTTTCTCTCTTTCTTTTTTTCTTTCTTTCATCAGTAGCTTTAGGCGGTACAAATAGTTCTTGGTTACATGGTCATATAGTGGCAAAAAAGTCTGGGCTTTAAGTACCCAATTTACTAAAACTCGTATTAGCTGGGTTTCGCCTCCAGAGTTCCTGATTCAGTAGGTCTGGAGTGGGATCCAAGAATTTGCTGTTCTAACAGGTTCCCAGATGATGCTGATGCTGCAAGCCTAAGGACAGCATTTTGAGAACCACTGAATTAGAAGATTGAGAAGCTAGAATCAGAAATTGTCATAGAACTTGTTCCAAAGAAGTATATGCACTGGGCACATTGGCTCATGCTTATAATCTCAGCACTTTGGGAGGCAGAGGTGAGAGGATTGCCTGAGCCCACAGGTTTGACACCAGCCTGGGCAATTTGGCAAGACCTGGGGAAAAGTAAGGAACTGTTCTCTAACATCGAAGACAGTGTATACCTAATTGTTAAATTGTGTGACAGAGGTACTGGGTATGTCACAGGAGTATATATCTTGGTATATATATTGGTATATATCTTTCTAGAATTCTCCTATGCTAGCATACACCCTACACTTCTTCCTTTTTTTTGAGTCAGTGTCTCACTGTCATTCACGCTGGAATGCAGTGGCACGCTCATGGCCACCGCAGCCTCAACCTGTTGGGCTCAGGTGATCTTTCCGCCTCAGCCTTCTAAGTAGCTGGAACTACAGGTGCATGCCACCACACCTGGCTAATTTTTTAAATTTATTGTAGAGACAAAGTCTTACCAAGTTGCCCAGGCTGGTCTTGAACCCTGGACTCAGTCAGTCCTCTGATCTCTACCTCCCAAAGTGCTGGGATTACAGGCATGAGCCATTGTGCCCAACCATGCTTTTGTGTTTTAAAAAGAAAAAACAAATAAGAGTGTTTTTTTTGAAGACACATACTAAAATATTTATGGATTAAAAAGAGCTTACTAAAGCAATCTAATGTAATACAGCAAACGTTTTTAGATTGTCTGCTTTATGCCAGATGCTGCTAGCTTACAAAGCCTTTGCTAAAGCTTGCAGTCTGGTGATGGTGATCAAGATGGGCAGCTTTACTTAATATCATGTGAGCTAAGAGCAGGGACCAGGGTCTAGCTCTGCTTGGGTGATCATAGGCATTTGGTAAATGATGAATGAATGAGCAAATTCAGGCAAGAAGTGACAACAGTAGGGGGGAAAAAAGGCCAAATGGGAAATTGTGGAAGAAAATGGGCAAGCCTGGATAGGGATGGTGGAAAGAAGGCATACATCAAAAAGGATTTTCTTGTCCAAAGTTTGATAACATTTTGGGTTCAGCAAGGCATGGTGGCTCATGCCTGTAATCCCAGCATTTTGGGATGCTGAGGTGAGAGGATTCCCTGAGCCCAAGAGTTTGAGACTAGCCTGGGCAACTTGGCAAAACCTCATCTCTACAATAAATCAACAAATTTAAGAAAAAAAAGAAAAAAATACAGTAGAATAGGCAATGTGATTTTTAAAAAAATTTCATTTACCAACCAGGTACAGTGGTTCATGTCTATAGTCCCAGCCCTTTGGGAGGGCGAGGTGAAAGGATTGCCTGAGCCCACAGGTTTGAGACCAGCCTGGGCAATTTGGTGAGACCTCATCTCTACAATAAATCAAGAAAAATTAGCTGGGCATAGTGATGTGTGCCTGTAGTTCCAACTACTTGGAAGGCTGAGGTGGAAGGATCTCCTGAGACTCCAACTCAAAAACAAAAATTAATTATTAAAAATAAAAATAAAAATTTCATTTACCAAAGAAAAAACTGAAACCTGGCAAATATTCATACTAAGCTAGGTAAGTTTTTGTGTGCTAGTTGCAATCAGTCACTTAAAAAGGAGGAAGGGGTCTTTCAGCATAGACAACTTGACATTCAGTTCTGCTATAAAACCAAAATGTTTGTTTTGTTTTTTGAGTTGGAGTCTCACTCTGTCGCCCAGGCTGGAGTGCAGTGGCACACTCCTGGCCACCGCAGCCTTGACTGAGCTCCAGCAATCCTTCTGCCTCAGCCTTCCAAGTAGCCGGAACTACAGGCGTGTGCTACCATGCCCAGCTAATTTTTGATTTATTGTTGAGACAGGTCTTGCCAAGTTGCCCAGGCGGGTCTCAAACCCGCAGGCTCAGGCAA